AAAACACATAACTATACTTTTATAATATACATGTATTCCAGGAAAATCTGGAAGATTTATAGCCAATAGGGGATATGCTTCACGCAAAGTCATTCTTAGTCAAGGTTGGACCTACAGGAGAACTTTCAAGGAACAATTTGCTGATATGGACCTTGATAGGTGTTTAAGTGAAAGATGAATCAACACAGATTAATATGCAGGCTCATCATCTAGAAATTCTACTCAGCAAGAGATACGCAGTTCATCTGATAAGATGAAAGGAATTCAGCAAGAAAAATTTGTTTAGACATAATTCCAGGGTAAACAGCCTTATGCTCAAATGTCTGATCCAAGTGCAGGTTTAAGCTAAGATCCTAAAATAATAGATGATGTGTTATTGCTGAACAGGCTAGATAAATAGTACAATCTAAGTCATTTAGAGAGATCCTGAACAAGCTGTTCAAAGCAAGAACTTCCTTAGTGGACTTTGACACGCTCACACACAAACCAAAGCAAATAACAAAGAACAAGCCACTACAGTTTCATAGCTAGAACCAGAACCAGCACCAACACCTGAACAACATGCTGCTATAAATAAGTTTCGAACATCCCAACATGCTGCTATAAATAAGTTTCGAACATCCCTATTCCAAGACACCGATGTTGAGAAAGATTCTGATAAGACAAATTCATCCACCAGCTTCACTGATGAACCATAAATCCTATCACCTTAAACCATGTAAATATGATACACCTTTTGCTACTGAATATATTTACCAAAAGCTTAAGCTGATGGTTGAGGCCTAAGAATATGTTTTTATACTCTATCACTCCCCCTCACATGAAAGGCCCTTTGGGCTTGAAATGTGGATGCAACACAGGCCCACCCATACATGGTGCGAATTAGTTCCACTTTAAAGGAGGGGTAGATGAGATTCGAACCCGTGACCTTTGTGTCACGTTGGCTCTGATACCATGTTAGAGGACCAACTCAACCAAAAGTTTAAGCTGATGGTTGAGGCCCAAGAATATGTTTTTATACTCTATCATAATTCATATCTTGGTATCAGTTGGTATCACAGATATTAGATCACCTAAAGGAAATCCGTCTTTTTTTTTTCTTTGCTGAATTTTGTTGATTATTTTTGTATTTATTTGATGTAGAGTTCGATTAAGTTTGTACTTTTTAAAAATATATTTAATTGAGAATACCCATATGATTTATAGGATTAGAGTCCATGCTCTATAAATCTATCATAACAATAGGAAACATCTTTCTTGGAAACATCTTATAACTAGCTTCTTGGCATTTATCTTTCCCTAACTCTATCCCTAGGTACATAAAAAAACGAGCTAATGCTCTATTTAGTGTTTCCATAATTCTAATTAACAACTTACTAATATGCCTCCTTGTAGTAGTATGGTTCTTGTGAAGTGGTTCTAAGATTATACGATAAGATCTACTATATGCATTCTTAGTGTCGTAAGGGAGAGAGATAGAGTGGAAAAGGGGTTATTAGCCACTTTGATTATATATTGCTCACAAATATCAAATAAAATGTGCAACTATACAAATCCTAAACATCAAACTAAAACAACACTAGGTATCATTTAGACTTGTACACCAATACAACTATATAAGTGCTTATAATCGTTATTCAACCATATATTCTTACATATTATGCTCAACAAAGATAACCACGATTAGACCTTTTCGAATTTCGAGATTGATTAGGCCAAAATTGGGGGGGGGGGAGGTCCTCTCACAACTGGTTTAACTAAATACTCCCACTTTTTTTCGTATAAGCAAGAGATGAGATTGTATGGAGTTTTTATAAAATAAGATGTTAAGTAAGAGATTTTCAAAAATGAAACTCTAGCTTAAAAAAACAAAAAACGAACGAAAATAGTAACTGTAGCTTATAAAAAACGGAGGGAGTGTAACAATTTATTTGCCTAATTTGAAACTGTAACCAAAAGACCAAAACCAATTGTCAGACATTATAATAAACTAAGCATGAGTTCAAAACATATTATACTCTACTATGATCATATACAAGTAGATCACAATATTTTTGAAGGAAAATGAGCAATTTAATGATCCAAGTATTATTATCAAGTTCAGCCAAGGTTAAAAGACCTTGAGGAAATGACCCCATACTCGTTCGTTACAATCATTAGTATCCCCACCTTGTTACGTTGTGAGCTACTACACTCCCTGCCCTTTATACATGAGAAAAACTACAAACACTAAAAGGCTTAGCTAACAAGCGCACATCATCATAAATAACCTAGCCTACTCGCAATCTAGCAGCCAAACCGAGCAGCAACTACCTCTGCTGTTTAACATCCCACCACATAGGAATTTTACGGACTGCAACCCATAGCACACGACCCTCACTATCCCCACCAGCAAAAGAAGAATTGACATGGGCATCAAAATTAATTTTTACAATACTAGCGGAGGGTAGACCACGCAGCAGCACTAGGAGACAACATAGAGGACGTTTTAGGAAACTAAGCTTCCCGAAGAAAATAATTACAAATTTTGTTGCGTGGCAAAAGTATTTACAAAAATAAGCTTCTGGGGTAAACCGCTGCCTCGGGCAGCGTTTTACCCTCTATTTTTTAAAAAAAAAATTCTGCTACAAAAACGCTGCCCCAGGCAGCGTTTTTATAGTTTGACTTTTTTTTCCTCGTTTATTTTTTTTTAAAATTAATTAAAAAAAGGCAACAGCATAAAACGCTGCCCCAGGCAGCGTCTTATCTTGTTAATGAAACGCTGCCCCAGGCAGCGTTTCTGTCTGGTTGTAAAACCAGAAACTCGAGCTTCGTTTTCAATCACGTTTGCTCTTCATTCCTTCGCCTCCTTCGCAATCCTCTTCCTTCCCTTCCCAAATTTCCTCTTCAATCCTCTTCAACCCAATTTCGTATTACATCCAATTCAAGGTATGGTTAAATATTAGTTGAGTATTTACAAATTGTTCGTTATGTTTGTTGAATTCTTGAATTGTTGGTTAGTGTTGTTGAATTATTGAATTGTTGGATATTGTTGTTGAATTGTTGGTTAGTGTTGTTGAATTCATGAATTGTTGGTTAGTGTTGTTGAATTGTTGGTTAGTGTTGTTGAATTATTGGTTATTGTTGAATTTCTTGAATTGTTGAATTTCTAGGGTTTATGTTGAATTTTGGGGGTTTTTGTTGAATTTAGGGGTTTAGGGTTGAGTTGATGAATTGTGATTGTTAAATATTAATTTGGATAATGTAGAATTGTTGGTGTTGAAATATTGAAGATGTTAAGTATTTGAATTTCTAGAATTATTGCTTGTTAATGGTGACCTAGTGATGCTTAGTTGTTCCAAAGTGGTTAGTTGGATGTGATTTAGAGATGGATTTCAGCCATGTGACACCAGCACTCGTTTGCACGGGGTTGACCGACGAGGAAAGGCAGAGACGGATTGGTCGGTGGAGCATCGTGCGTACGTAGAGCTCTAGCATCGCCGACTGGAGTTCGTTGTGGGCGGTGTACCGATGCAGGGCGTCCTCCAGCCTCACGATCCGTACATGGTCTGGTACCAGCGGATTACCCGGCGTTTCATCAACCCCAGCTACACACCTCCCTCCACCCATTACCATCCAGCATATGACGTGATTTATGGATATGTGAGTTTCACTTCCAACCGATTAATTTTCATCTCTTTTTAGGTTTCTATGCATAACTGATCAATGATTATTGCAGGTGGCAGACATGGCATCGATGGTTGACGCGCTGTCCCTTAGCCTGGCTGACGGGCCCACCGGGAACGAGGTCCAGCTGGTTCGGGATATGGGCATGGCCAGCTTGCGTCGATATGGACACGACTACCTCGTCCCCCAACGGGACACGTATGATGGCCAATCGATGCATTCGCAGTTCGAGCTCAGACAGAGTAGTTGTGGAGGTGATTTTACGACGCCGACATTCTCAGAGGACTTCACCTTCCACAACACTACGCCGTCCGGCTCCCAGGAGGTGCCAGATACCAGCCAGCTGACTCCCCCGCCGCCTCTAGACCCATTCACCACCATTACTCATTACAGGCGGCGGCGTGTCAGACAGAGGGCCGAGCAACCTGACCTAGATCAATTGCCCCGGATAGATGAATCGGGATAGTGTTAGCTTAGTTATTTCATGTAGTAAAATTTTTGTATAGATTAGGTATATAACATTTACATTTCTAATATAATAAATGTTTTAATTAATTTTAAAAAAAATAAACGAGGAAAAAAAAAAGTCAAACTATAAAAACGCTGCCTGGGGCAGCGTTTTTGTAGCAGAATTTTTTTTTTTTTAAAAAAAAATAGAAAGTAAAACGCTGCCCGAGGCAGCGGTTTACCCCAGAAGCTTATTTTTGTAAATACTTTTGCCACGCAACCATTTTTGTAAATACTTTTGCCACGCAACCATTTTTGTAATTACTTTCGTAACGAAACTTAGTTTCCTAAAACGTCCCAACATAGAGCACTTAGAAGGGAGAACCTTAGTTGCACTTAGTTGTGTACTAGATTAGCTCCCGTGCGATGCACGAATATTGTGAAAAAAGAACTGTATAAAACAATACTCCATAAAAAAACATAAATTAATATTTTGTATTAAAAAAAGTTGTGAAACCGTTCAATTTTTTTTTTTTTTTTTTTGTGAAGAGTTATTTGTATAGTATTTTGTATTAAATTATTTTGAAGTCAATATTTAGTTTTTTCCATAAAAAAAATGTAAAAGAGAAGAAAAAAAAATTTGGTGTGAAAAAATTAAAGGAGAAGCTGTCACGTATACAATATGAATAAATGAATGACATCAGCAGTTGTTAGTTTAGTTTTAGTTATAGAAGATTAGCTTTGCGAAACTTGCAGCCATAACACTCACATAATCCACACCCATTTTACCTCGCCAATTTAATGCTTTAAAACTCCCAATTCCAACCTCAATTCCCATTTAGAGAAATTAATCGCTAAAATTATACGCGTGTCAACTAAAAAACCGGGCCCCACGCATCATCATGATATTGATACTATCAGCCTATCATATCAGTCATTCATGCTCCTTCACCAGGACCAGACGCGAAAATGATGACAGTAACACTCTGCTCAACCTCAACTTCATCATCTTCCCCAAATTTTCCTCCAAATCCAAAACTCCCCAATTCTCTCTCCAATACTCCCACGAATGCCACCATTTCTCGAAGACAAACCTCTCTTCTCCTCTCAATCACCCCTTTTCTTCTCCAATCACCACCTCCTGCAGTTGCATTCAACCTTGGAATTTGTGGGTATTCTTAATTTTCTTCATTTCTACCTTTCAATTGTATTTTTCCATCTTAATTTGATTGTTTTTATCTGGGTAAATCCCTAATTGTTTGTCAAGATTTTTGCAGCTGGACCTAAAGATTGGTTGAGAGAGCAGAAAAAGAAGTCGATTAAGTATCTTTTAGCCCCAATTGATGCTTCCCAAGAAATTCTTCGCTATGCTTATCAATTGCTAAGTATGTTGATTTTTTCTAATAATTTTGATTGTAGCATCTCTTTAAATTTTGATATCTATTGGCCATTTTAAAATATGAATTTCTTCCCTTTATTTATATATTTATTTATTGTAATAAATAGTGGCGAAGGATGTTAATTATGAGCAGAAGGATTTGGAGGAAATTCAAGGGATGTTAAAATCTGCTGCTAGGGATTGTGTTGCTGAGGATAGGAATTCTTTGGTAGCATTTCAAGCTAAAACTGGTGTTGAGGTTTGATTCCTCTTATGATTTATTCATTGTCGTCGTTAATTGATTTGTTGATCAATTTTTGCTGGTTGTTGTAATGGCAATGGGAATCCTTAGTTCCGAACCCCTTCACCTGGGCTATAGATGTTGTATTCGTCCCAGATGTTTTTATTAATGTACTCCGTAGTAAAGATAAGCTCTGGAAAGTAGTAGAAAGAAAGAAGAGCTTGAGATGAGTTTTGTTAATCTAATACTACCTCCGTTAGTCCGTTTTATATTAACTACAACCAAGGGTATTAATTGTGAGACATTAGAAATTTCTTTGTTGCAATTAGTTAGTAACAGAGATAGTAAATAGTAATCAACTCTCATACACCTTCCTCAATCTTGTTGTGTAAGTTGGGTAGTAAGTCCAAGCTTGGAAGATTAATCGTAATGCTAAGTTTTAGGAAGAACCTTGGTGAATAGATCAGCCATTTGCATTTAACTAAAGACATAACCCTGCATCTACTTGTTCTCGAGGGTAATGGTAGTCATTTTCTGATATGCATTGTCCTTATGGAAGACAGGATAGTGAGCTGTATTATGCTGGTCCATCTGCAGTACTGGACATGCTCCAGATGACTTGCTGGCAACCTTCTACTTTTTAGTTTTTCATGACACCAATCTATTTTCTATAATATGTACTCCCTCTGTCCCCAATTGTTTGCCCCAAACTATAAATCTACTTTATTAAGGCTTTGGGCAAAAAATGGTGCACATAGGTTGACACAAATATCAATGAGGAGAGAGATAGAGAGAGTGCAAATGGGAAAACATGCCAAAAGTAGTATGAGGCAATCTTTTGGGGACACCTTAAAAAGGAAAGTGGAGCAAACAATTAGGGACAGAGGGAGTAGTAAGCAGTTAAAGATCTGCTGTTGAATGGTCAACCTCTCCGGTCAGCATCAAAATATGCATTTAAAAACCAACGTAGGGTCAACATAAGATGAAACAATACGATTCACATATATCTTCTGAGTTATTATACCCTCCGAAGTTCTTAGTACTCTTAAGTTTTAAGTGTTTCAATTATGAAAATAGCTAGGGTTGAAAATATCAAGTTTTTGCTTAAATGTGTAAATGACTTCTGCCGGTCAATAAAAGTTCATCCATATAAATCAATACCACCATGAATTCTCCATCAAAGTCTCTTTTCAGAAAATCTGATCTTGAGTAGATTGAGTAATATATACCCAACCCTAGCTTAAATTTACAAAGCTCTAATTCATTGTCTACAAGCCTGTGTTTAGACCATATATGATATTTTCAACTAGCATATTTGATATGACTTCACTTAGTTATATCCTGGAGGAGGATTCATGTATATTATAGTTAGTGTGACCCAAACTATACAAGTCCATACTATTTATATCATGTTGATAAACAATTCTAGATTCTTCGAGTAATATCTTGCATAATCATGATTTCTAAAGAAATCATTTGGAATAACATATGTTGGCAAACTTGGGGCATTTTGTGCTGAAGTTTCTTCATTCTATTTGCATGTGCACAAGAAAGCTACTAGAATCTTATATGCTGATGAGACTTGAGACTTCTAGAATTTGCTATTAGAGAGCATGTGTGGTGATATAGATTTTTGTACACACTTCATCCATCACCATAAATCATTTATTGGGTGATATTTTGGAAATGCTCCACCAATATGATCCTCTAAGATTTCATGCTAACACTTTCAAAAACCCTCTTCTCATAATCCTCACTAGTAATAGTAGTTATAACTATTGTTTTAACCAAAAATAATTTTAGATTGTTGTAAAGGTCAAGTATTATGTAGCAAGTTGTATATTTCGTGTTAGATTTACTAGTTGTTAACTTCTTAAAAAATCTTAATACATAGATCACATTTGTTTATCATTTAATTCTATGGAATTTCACAAATCTGTCATGGCTTCAAGAATAGTTATCTCCAAAAGCTCAATTACTTCCTTCATTTTGAAGTAGTTATAACATCTTGACTTAGAGAAACAAAAATGAAACCTTGGTGGATCATATTAGTGAATCACTATCAAAATTTCACCCTAACACTAATATCTATAATTGATGTATGGCGAACGATGTAGTGCAGAAAACCCTACATCACCATACATGCTTTCCTGCTGCAAATTTTTAGAATTCTCACAGGCATATAATGTTTCTAGTAGCTTTCTCGTGTACACTTACTGGTATAATGTGAACTTTAAATAAAAAAAAACTCCAAATTCGCTGAAAGAAGTTGCTCTATATTATTTCTCTAGAAATTATGATATCGTGCAAGATAATTTTTGATGATTCTATAATGGTTTATCATCATATTATGATGTATGTAAAAACCTGGAATTATGTAATATCATGTCATATGCTCAAAATGTGGGCTTATTGAACTTATGCCACACTAACCCAACAATTCATAATGTCTATCATGTAAGGGCCAAAGGGCAATGACGATTCTAACAATTGCTTGCAACAAGCAAGAAGGTGTCTTTTAAATCTTACCCTTTTGACTTGTTGATAACCAATAGCTACTAATCTAGCTTTCAATCTCTCAACAGTCCCAATTTTGTATACCCTTTTTGAGCCAATATCTTTCTTGCCTTAAGAAAGATCTGTTGCCTTCCAGTATCATGGACTTATTTTGAAAATGCAAGGTATCTCTTTCATATTTTGCGTGGAAGTTTTCCTTTCATGCATGGCTCCAATATAATTAAAATTCTTAATAATTTGCAAAATCTAGTTTAAGGCCTTGTTTTGGAATTAAAGTATTTATTTGAATTTTTGAATGTGCTTGTTGATTTAGTGATGAGCTTAGAAAAGGCGAATCTTCAAATGAAATATGAGAAAGTAATTGTATTGGTTCATACTTTGTAAAAATGTAAACATGCATAGATATATGAGGCAGATGTTGGAGGTGTAATCCTGATATTATCAAAATCGCACCCTTTTTTAATTGTTTTATTTATATGATATTATCGGTGCTTTGTATAAAATTTGTCTAGAGAATGTGTTTTGTTAGACTTTCTATCTGTAGCTTGTAACCTCCTGTTTTTGTTGGTGATAGGTTTGCACGTTTAAATTAGTTGTGACTAATGCATCATCATTACTTGACGATGGTGACTCTGCCAAATTTGAAGCTGAAGCCAGGCTAAGTGATCTTATTAGGTAGTTGAAGCATGATACCATTTATTAGTAGCAAATTTTGAAATCTGTTTGTTTCTAAAATTGTTAAGTGCTATATGGGAGCTCAAATCTCTGGCCTGATTCTTTAATTACATCCTCGATGTACTTTTCACACAAAATTCTTACGTTAATTCAAATACATAAAAGTTATATACATCAAAAGTCAATATATGCAATATAATGATATGAAGCAAGATAGTCGTTAAACATCATTTAATTATAAGATATTGCAGGTGTTATTAGACTTGTATTTATTGTTATTGGTTAGTTGAAGGGAGAAATATTGTGTCTCTATTAGTTTTTGCTCTCATCTCAATGTAAATTATTTCTTATGAAGTCATGCAATTTGTATTGGGGAAAGAGTAACAAATTGACAATATTTTAACCAAATAATTAGACTTTGGAGCCTTGGGTCTTCTTTCTCTATTTTCGAAAAATAAGTGTAATGCTTTCTTTCTCCGGGTTTCTAATTCACCCCTTTCTTAGGCCTAGACAATGGGAATTTGTTAGGAAAATGTTCCGCTGAGGAAGGGAAAATGTTTGAGTTGGGACAATTGTCATCGTGATATTTCAAAGATACTGTTGGTTTGCTTCACTTCATTCTCAGAGGGAGCAGATGCAGCCTCCGTAGAAGGGTCTCTCATGCTGTTGCTTCACTTCATTCTTTGCTCAAGCTTCTCTCAATTTTTCAGAATTCTGCCAGAATCAACATCACTCAGCCTCTTAATAGACATCAAAATGTTTTTTTTTTTTTAAAAAAAAAATTCCTTAAACTCTTCCAAGTTGTTTTGGCCTTGATTTATATGAAGGAATTGAGCTTTACCAACTTTGTTGTCCTATCGTCAAATAATCACAGACCATACCCTTCATTCTCTCTTCCTTTCCCCTTATCTTTATCCTCCCCGTGTTTGAAATCCAGTCTTTCTCCCTTCCTCCCTAGAAGACATCAACATTACTCCCACTTCTTCACTTTTCCTCCTCTCCTCCCACAAACAGCCATTCACCACCATAAACAATCACAATCAGACATTGGAGTAGTCTAAAGAAAAACGATGGGTAACCTAGAAGGCTAGAACCCTTGAAAATGGCATTTCTCTAAAGGCCTGAAATTGTTTAATTTCAAACATTAATTAAGTAAAGTCAAGCGGAATTTAGGTATATATTGGCTATGATTACTTACTACTATTGTTGGGATTCTTGGCAATACTTGCTGCTGAATTGGTGTCGCTTCAGTATGTTTGGTACATAAGGAAAACTCTGATAGTTCGTATTCTTATCCATTTCCAGTTGCCCTTATACTTTTTGATTTGGATCATCTTTTTACGTTACTAACTTGAAATATTGAAATTCTCTTGTTTGTGTTGTTTGAGTGTGTGATTGATCTTCTTATATATTGCATTTTTACACATTTATTAACTGTTTTGTTTATTTTGGGGGTAGATCATTCACATTTCTGAATGGTGTGGCCAAGGAAGCAGATTTTCAACTTGTCTCAGATAGGTATGTGGTTCTTTTCCATTTTTAGTTTAATGGGAACAATATAAGTCCAGAAAAAGTATTTTTAATCCCCAGATTAACATCTCATGTCTGAATGAGTTAAGCGTAGAGAGATATCTGTAGAAATTGTAAGGTATAGAAAAATGTGACCTTGCTTTAAAACGAAATTGAATAATTATTTAAAATCATACAAGATTGCAGGTTTTTATTTAAACCTATCAAAGATGGCAATAGTAAATTTTATGAGATACTTTATTTGGTTAATGTTTATCCTACTTTTTTTGGTGGTTATTGCTGGTTAGGGCTTATATAATTGGTTTCTTGTTACTTTTGTTCCATGATTCTTATGTTTGAGGTACAAATTATGTGACATCCACTATACCACTCAGTAAAGAACTTATAACTAAAATACATTTACACCTGGTACAAGTTCTATATTCTTGTTGGTAAATTTATCATGTCATTAAATGCCTTGCCATCTTAAGTAATTCCAAAATAATTGTCATCTTTGTTTACAGACAGTAGGTTTGTTCCACTTTATTTCATAAGCTTGTTCACCCAAAATCATTCATCCAATACACCCCTTTATTTAGGACATGTGCAAAGGTTTGGAGTGAGTAGAATTTACTTAATATTATGTGTTAACTTGGATAATTTGAGAAATTACCTGCAGACTTTTGTTTCTGATTTCTTTGTTGTTATGTAAAGCAGACAAAAGGTTGCAAATGCTGTCATGGATTCGTTGTCGTCTCTCAACAATTTTGAACAAGGTATCAAAGGATGCATTGACATTTGACTTCCAACTGGATAACCATGGGTTGTTTCGTCATGGAGAATCTTGTATGTATTTAGGAGTTAATGGATGTGAAACAATATACTTTTCTCTGGGAGTGACCCAATCTTTTTAAAGCTTAAACCTTAATATCTTGTCAAATATAGGTTTTTTCCCTTCACTAATCACTATTGATACAAATTTATGCACCTGCTCTTTTTAGAGTCATTACCATGTTGGTTCCTTTTTCCTAAATTGCAATAGAGAAAAAAAAGCTTAAATTTAATTTATTGAATTACTGGCAAATGTTGATGGGTAATTCTGAAACTGTGAATTGACATCCAATGGTTTTGGACAAGTGATCAAATCAGGGTCCTACTCGAGTCTATCTGAAGATGTATTTGAATTCTTGCAGCTGTGAGCTTTGATTTTGTAGCCTTGATTAATCATGCCCATGTTGGTCATACTAGCTGCCCTAAATTTGTATTTTTCTGTCCCTCATTGTTATAATGCATTTTTGGGAGATTTATATTTTTTTAATCTTGATGTATTTGACTCGTTTATGTTATTTTGAAATTTTGATTGATAATTCATATTTAACTTTTGACCCCAAAGATTGGACCAAGTACGGATATATAATATGAAGTACTTTAAAAGCCTTTTTTTTATTTTTTATTTTTTTGGTTCTTTGTATAGGGATGTGGGTATAGAGATAAAGGAGGACTACATTACTTGTGTCTAGAATGTTAAGATCATATAGGTTCTTCATTTTCCTTTCAGTTATTCATAATGGGCTAGCAGCATCAATAGTTTCAGTTATAATTGTTTTCCAAGATGCTCTTTGTTGCTTGTGATGAAACTGAGATCATCCTAATGCGAAGGAACTTTTTTTATAGCGAGTTGTTACAAATTTCATCGTTAGATCATCATTTTGTTTTTTTTTTCCCCTCCCTTCCCCTTTTGTTCCTGTCCATGGGTCCATTCTCTTTGTCATTTATCATTAGCCTTGTTTAGATTAAGCTTTGTTTAACTTAAAGTAAAATATGTGCTTCTTGTCTTGCACAGAACAAAAATAAGGCTGGTTTGCTGCAATTTCAAATATTTTTTCATTGTATATTCAGTGCTGCACTTGGAAAGAAAAGGGACCAACAAAATTTTGCTCCCCCTCTTAAAGGTTTCAAATTTCAAGTTGTGATGTTTTTGTTTAGTGTCAAGTTTTAGCTTGTGACTTCTGCTTAAATGAGGTATCCTTAGCTCTCTTTTCGTATAAGAGTGTTGTTGTGCTGACCTCTCGGTGAGTTGGTGCTTTATTATAAAACCCTTTATTACTTTCCCCCCCCCCCCCCCCCCCCCCCCCCCCCAAAAAAAAAAAAAAAAAAATCAATAAAAGAAATCTGACAGGAATATGATGGCAAACATTAGGATCACCTGGAATCTGTTTGATTTTATTTTTAGAATTTCTTTTGCATATGTCATGCTTTGGCTGATTTTTGTCCATTGAAGTACCAATGTCTATCTTTTGATCATGTGCTTTGTTTGAAAATGTTCTAATTAATACAGTGTTTTTCTATCCATGTTGATGTGGCTTCTTTAGATTCTTTTCGAACTTCTCTCACCATATGTGAATGAGACAGAGACTTATCAGTTTATGTATCATTTTACAATAAGATCAAATAGCTGTTCTAATTGGAAATTTAGAAGCTTGTACTAGATACAGGCGACATCATGGTGTTCCATCCTCTGGGTTTACTTCGACTGACCTTGGTATGGGTGCGGAGTTTATCTAACAAATTCAATGGATCATTCAGAAGCCCAAAATGGGCGTCTGGATCACTAATTTGTGATAGCTTTACATATGAAAATCCTAAAGAAGGTAGGAGTTCATCTAGCCAATTGAAAAGTAGACTTTGAAAACATGGTTTATTGTTTGTTCATGAAATCTGCCAGTAACACAGTAGTAGTAAGAGTACTGTAGGAAGCTATGGTCTTTAGCACGTCGATTGCATCACAATTGGACAGATAGTAGAGAATTCCTTCAAGGATCCACACAGTTTTCTTCTCCGGCTCAAATCCAGAATTTTGAAGCTTTTTCAGCCAATCATGCCCTGTGATGTCAGCTTCCACTCTGGTTAGCATCTTAGCTTTCATTTCCATTTCTTGCTGGTCTTCTTTGGGTACCATTGCTTCCTGTAGAAGAGATGCCTTCACTTGCAGGATTTGGGGAAAATCTACTTCAAAGACGTGGCTATTCGTCAAGCAATCTAGCATTCTAGCCGATATATGCTCTTGTGTCCATACCTGCTAATAATTATTTAGAATCAATGAATTTTGACGTTGAAAGAATTCAAAGAAATCATAAAACTTTTTTATAGTATAATAGAACATTATATTGGATTCTTGCAGGTAGGATGTAGCTTCGTTGTGGGGAAATCGTACTACTGCATTGAAGGACCAATCTTCCTATGATTTGTATTTATCAGCTCCCAAACAACGAAGCCTTAAGTGATGTTTTCTTTGACAGGTTAATTGTGATAGGTATAGTATTGGAGGATATATTAATTATTTGACTCGTCAAATAATGCTCATTTGGTTCAAAGAGGGTTAAGTGTTTATAAAATGCTATCATTTGGCTTGTAATATCCTTATCATTGGGTCTTTACGTCTTTGTCTTCTATGAATTTCGAGAATAACTTTATCTGAGTTTTAGATAAGTTGATTGCCAATGGAGTAACTATTTCATTTGTATGATCTACCGTTCTACATGATCAAACGAATTTAGGTGGGCAGCAGCTATGGCTTAGATCTGTTGGGTTGGACCATCTTTGGAATTCGCCTATGCTCTTATTCCCCTCTTTCACCCACCACCCCTCCCCCGGTCCCCCTTTTAAGAAAAGGGAAGCTTGAAAGCAACAGAAGATATGGCTTTGATAGCATGCATCACATTTTCCATTACAATGGCGGAATTAATGCATGTAACCCTAGGCCAAACTATAGTTTTAAAATTTTGATTGTCTAGAATCTTTTTGAATTTTACAACTGTTAAGCCTGCTTATATTTATGACTTGGTGATCCATTAATTGGACTACATTTTCTTCCCAATGGAGTTTGCAAATGTGTCATATATCATTATTTTATGCAAAATAGTTTTATAGCAACTAACTGCAGGACATAGTAAATTGTTTCTGGTATTTTATTATCTACAATGAATATTTCCATGTATAAAGTTTGCACAAATGTGAATAAATCATACAAGTGATTGACCTGCACCAAGGAGAACAACCTGCAACACATCATTGTTGAAAAAACTAACTGCAGCTTCAAGTTTTGAATCAAACCAGAGGGTTCGAACTGCAAGGATCACGCCAGAGACTTCACGGGCTTGGTTGAGGCAGTCTTTCCGTATCTTCTCATAAAAGCTTGTAAGCTGACTCTCTCTTGCAAGAAGTTCTGCTAGCATGTCATTTGTCACATGCTTCCACTGTTCCACAAGGCCCTTCCAGCTGCAGTTTGGCATGCTATACGTTGTAGGGGATTCCAGTTACTCTCAATGGCTGCATGAAGTTTCTGAACACTATCGACGGAGAGCAAGCTCGGAAGCTTGAGCTCTGACCAGAATGGCGGGGCTTCGGGAAATCCATCGTTTTCAGTGGCCATGGTTCTAAACCACAGATGTTTTTTTTAAGATAACAGGAGAAATGTACTTACTGAAAACCATTTGTATTTTTATTCTTAAGGTTAGAGGTGGATGGGTGTACTTTGCTCATAGTAGGTGGGGATAAGATCAAAAGGGAACCACACACTAGTTTGAAATCTTATAAATCAATTTGGTTCATGTATATGGAACATTTTCAGCAGAGTCCACGAGTCCTTCAATTAATCACTTCTCCTAATAAAAACAGTCTTTTGCTTGAACAAGACATGTAATTTGGCGACAGTGCCTCGCAATTGTATTGCTCACAGATTGTGAAAGATGTTACACACGTTATTTCAGTAGATATCATTATTATTGCTACTTATTGCTTTAGCATTATAATACATGCAATAAGTCTGTGTTATGATTTTCATGATATACTATTTTTAACTTCTGCTTGGTATATTAACTAATCAGGTACATTATTATAAAACACATAACTATACTTTTATAGTATACATGTATTCCAGGAAAATCTGGAAGATTTATAGCCAATACGGGATATGCTTCACGCAAAGTCATTCTTAGTCAAGGTTGGACCTACAGGAGAACTTTCAAGGAACAATTTGCTGATATGGACCTTGATAGGTGTTGAAGTGAAAGATGGATCAACACAGATTAATATGCAGGTTCATCATCTGGAAATTCTACTCAGCAAGAGATACGCAGTTCATCTGATAAGATGAAGGGAATTCAGCAAGAAGAATCTGTTTAGACATAATCCCAGGGTAAACAACCTTATGCTCATAATGTCTGATCCAAGAGCAGGTTTCAGCCAAGATCCTAAAATACTATATGATGCGATGATTGCTGAACATGCTAGCTTATGAAGAAATAGATAAATAGTACAATCTAAGTCAATCAGAGAGATCCTGAACAAGCTGTTCAAAGCAATAACTTTGACTCTCACACACAAACCAATGCTAATAACAAAGAACAAGCCACTCAGTTTATAGCTAGAACCAGAACCAGCACCAACACCTGAACAACATGCTGCTAGAAATAAGTTTCGAACATCCCTATTCCAAGACACTGATGTTGAGAAAGATTCTGACAAGACAAATTCATCCACCAGCTTCTCTGATTAACCATAAATCCTATCACCTTGAACCATGTAAATATGATACACATTTTGCTGCTGAATATATTTTGTTGTTAAATTGTGCACTGCCTGATTGTTTTCCAATAATTCATATCTTGGTATAAGTTGGTATCACAGATATTATATCACCTAAAGGAAATCAGTCTTTTTTTTTTTCTTTTTTTTGCTGAATTTTATTGATTATTTTTGTATTTATTTGATGTAGAGTTCGATTAAGTTTGTACCTTTTTAAAAATATATTTAATTGAGAATACCCATATGATTTATAGGATTAGAGTCCATGCTTTATAAATCTATCATAACAATAGGAAACATCTTTCTTGGAAACATCTTATAACTAGCTTCTTGGCATTTATCTTTCCCTAACTCTATCCCTAGGTACATAAAAAACGAGCTAATGCTCTATTTAGTGTTTCTATAATTCTTATAAACAACTTACTAATATACCTCCTAATAGTAGTATGGTTCTTGTGAAGTGGTTCTAAGATTATACGCTAAGATCTACTAGATGCATTCTTAGGGTCGAGAGGGAGAGAGATAGAGTGGAGAAGGGGTTATTAGCCACTTCGACCATAATAGCTCACAAATATCAAATAAAATGTGCAACTATACAAATCCTAAACATCAAACTAAAACAACACTAGGTATCACTTAAACTTGCACACCAATACAACTATATAAGTGCTTACAATTGTTATTCAACCATTATTACATATTATGCTCAACAAAGATAACCGCGATTAGACCTTTTCGAATTTTGAGATTGATTAGGCCAAATTGGGGGTAGGGGGGGGGGGGGGTCCTCTCACAACTAGTTTAACTAAATACTCCCTTTGTTTTTTTATAAGCAAGAGATGAGATTGTATGGAGTTTTTATAAAATAAGATGTTAAGTAAGAGATTTCCAAAAATGAAACTCTAGCTTAAAAAACAAAAAACGGACGAAAATAGTAACTCTAGCTTATAAAAAACGGATGTAACAATTTATTTGCCTAATTTGAAACTGTAACCAAAAGACCAAAACCAATTATCAGACATTATTATAAACTAAGCATGAATTCAAAACATATTATACTCTACTATGATCATATACAAGTAGATCACAATATTTTTGAAGGAAAAGGAGCAATTTATTGATCAAGTATTATTATCAAGTTCGGCCAATGTTAAAAGACCTTGAGGAAATGAACCCATACAAACTCGTTCGTTACAATCATTAGTATCCCCACCTTGCTACGTTGTGAGCTACTACATTCCCTGCCCTTTATACATGAGAAAAACTACAAACATTAAAAGGCTTAGCTAACAAGCGCACATCATCATAAATAACCCAGCCTACTCGCAATCTGGCAGCCAAACCGAGCAGCAGCTACCTCTGCTGTTTAACATCCCACCACATAGGAATTTTACGGACTGCAGCCCATAGCACACGACCCTCACTGTCCCCACTGCAACAATACCACCAGCAGAAGAAGAATTGACATGGGCATCAAAATTAATTTTTACAATACTAGCGGGGGGCAGACCACGCAGCAGCACTAGGAGACATCATAGAGCACTTAGAAGAGAGAACCTTAGCTGCATATAGCTTATAGTTGTGTATTAGCTTTGCGAAGCTTGCAGCCATAACACTAATGGTCAGTGTAATTCCTTCAAAAATGCTCTTATTCCTGCAGAACCATATTGACCACACTATTGCCAGCAGCATACAGAGCTCTTCTTTGCTGATCATGTCCACCATCCACAACAACCTATCAGCAAACAAAGCATGAATTGGAGAATCGAAAATAAGTGTAGCATGGTCATATGAATCCCAGACCTGCCTGATTGCAGCACAATAAAAAAAGAATATGTGTTATCGACTCCACCTCAATCCCACATGCTGTGTACTAGTTACAAGCAGCAATATAGCGTCTATGCAGTTCCTGTTTCACACCGAGACTCCCCTTGCAAGCCCTCTACATAAAGTCGCTCAACTTCAGAGGGCCACCCAATCCCCACATCAACTTCCACAGCTTTCGCTCAGTAGCATTTTGATTCGGATTACTCACATAATCCACACCCATTTTACCAAGCCAGTGAGCGGACTTGATGCTAAAAACCCTGACCTGAATATTATTAACTCTAGAAAAGAGTCATTATTTATATTCATAAACATATGATAATTTGACATAATTGAACCATCTGATTTATTTACCACCTTCCCCTCTGGTAACTACTTTCCGTTTATAACCTGAGATTCATGTAGATAAAAGCTCCACTCGTTACCATTCTTAACAATCACGACAACAAGATTGTTTTGAATTGATACTATCAAACATATGTAAGTAAAAGATCATGCTGATACCGAAGCCATGAAAAGCATCAATTGGAAGCCTACGACAACAATCACTAAATAAAAAGGTAAGTAAACACGGCAGCTACCAACTGTTGAGACATACAAAGGAAAGAAAATCCACAGAAAAAAAGTAAGGCAACTTGGGAAGCATGGTTTATCAAGAAAATCCACAAAAACACTGATGGTTTTTCTCCATTCTAATTGTGGAATAAATTTACATATTTGTCCAAACATAAAAGCACACCATTGCAAAGCAAATTATTCAAACGTAATCTGATAAAATCTCGAAGCTAAACTTTACATTTTCAATATAAACCAGACGAAAGGAAAAAAAAAACCACCATCAGCAACCTACTTATGTCCAATACTAAATTAGAAGCTGCATGGTGTGCGTGCCTCTGTTCAACGAACCACATACCTGAAATTGAGGGAGAAAAGGAGACAATGTCACTTCCTGGAGATTTTGCAATGGTCTTTAATGTAAAACTAGTGCATAATTTCTCCATAGAAAGATAATAATTGGATTCCACTTTGCTTTGCTACATGAGAAACATTTAACTACAAGCGAATTCCCACACATCATACCCTTTTAAAAAAGAAATGGGAAATGTCACAAAAGTGTAAAAATTATTAAGCTATTGATGAGCGGTGAGCCAATATCTTATACTCCGTATCGTACTCTGCAGTGAAGTAGTATCTAATATTGTCTAATCACTTACACTTATAATCCTATATCTGAGTATTTGTGCATGTGTGATAGGGACAGTCTGTGCTACTCCAACTCATAATTCTCTCTCTTTATGATATAATATACCAGTAATAAAATTATGAATTTGTCAAACCGAAAAAGAATTTACATCAAAGACCAGTAATCAGCCTCCAAGTATATCTCATACGTGATATTATAAGCTCGTGAAACATGGACATGTGTGGAGAAAGAAGGGCAGAGGAGTTGTATGTATGTGTTTGAGGGTGCACTACACAAAATTACGGAAGAATCTAAAAGCAAACTGCATGGTTTGATTCCTTTCCCGACAAGATTATCTCCCAGGGATTATAGTATGGAAAGTCCTAAGGAGAAATAATTACTAACAAAATCTCCCTTCATCAACAGAAGATATGACAAAAGGCATATATTCAAGAAACTTATGTGCATTTCAGAAGGCAACTAGCATATGTAAAAACTTCTAACCATACATTATACAGACACATACCTGTACAGCCTCCCCTATCACCAACACATTGCAAATCACCATTCACAAAGCAGATGGTTTCATCACAGGGGAAAAGTTCCCCTGAATTCAGCATGAGTACAGCTTATGTCATCCGTATTTGCAGGAGGTTGTTCTATATGAATGATCTTTCCAAACAGCTGAAATGAAGTGACACCTTTTCCAGTACTCATTGCACCAAAGAACTGCACACTGTTGAGGCTGTCAAGTGAACGTGTCTCAGAGGATGAACTGGCAATATTCAGGTCAGTGGATACACCTTCCACTTTCTGTGTCGGTGACATATTACTGTCCAAATTATCATCAGTGTGCCCCTGGTGAGAATCGTCATTCATGATCATAGGTGAATTAGATGGATAAATACTAGGAAATTGCCTGGCTCCCTGCATGCCTGCGGGAAAAATGTTGTAATTCATATGGGAAGGAATCAACTGGTCCATCACCAGTGAACCAAATCCGAGTTGAGGAGTAAAGTAGATATCTCCCTTCCCATCAGCTAGTAGAGCAGAGTTCTGCACACCCTTGAGCCTTTTGGCAGGGGTATCAAATGCAGCACGAATAGTAGGTGGTAGTGGTGGTGGTGTTGGAGCAATACACTCCACTTGCCATGGACTAAGCATCCTTACTTCTTCCAACTTTTCTGGCTCATCCCAAGTAACCTAGAAAGAATATTACAGCATCACAGAGTATTTTTTATTTTTTCACATCCCAAATAACTTGATAATTTGATTGAAGGCCACATACATTGCATCTACTGGTAAGCTACAAATAACTTTCTTGAATTAAATGCTTTTACCAGATAAACATGGATAAAGGCATGATCACAAGGCATGCAAGGATCGCCCCCAAGCAGAAACATCAATATCTTGCATGAGCTCGTTGCACATAAAACAAGCAACTTTAACAACAATATTAAGAGTGTCATAATAGTTCATACAATGATGTCTTGGTTGAATGCACTGATGCCTAGTGAATGCAAGACTTCTCTAATAGTCCGAATTTTTTTGTTCATTAAAAAAAAAGCATTAAAAAAACTTTGAGAGCATCCATTTAGCATTATCACAACACAAATTAACTGTTAGATCAAGAGCTAATCATACACTTGCTTCATAACACTATATAATTTATAGGAATTTGAAGTCATTTTTTAATAACCTTTGAGACACCACCCCCCCCCCCCCCCCCCCGCGTCCTCTTCCAAACCACATTTCTCTTTATCATTAGAAATTGGATTAGGAGAAGACACATAAAGAAGAAAAAGGAAAATCCTTGAATTAATATTGATGCTATATCTCAACCTTTCCGCTCACAAACATCTATAGAATTCCTATTTCCAATCCTAGAATCAAGTAATCAACTGTATTTCATGTGGACTAATTATTTGATAGTAAAACATACTAACAAATAACATATACGAAGTACATTATTCCCAATCCTACAATCAACTACATTTCATGTGGACTAATTATTTGACTACCAACATATAAGCATAAACATTTAATTATTTGATAGTATTACATAGCAACATATATAAACATAAAAAGATAGATAAATAAGGTAATTAAGCAATGGCAATACCTGAAGCATCCGCCACACAGAACCAGGCCAAGGCCCGTCATTAGGACTAGGAACCACGGAAGTAACCGTCCCAATAAACCACGTCACGCTCGGCCCTCCATCTCCGGCATTCTGTGGAAATCTAACCCGGGTTCCAGAAGTCCAATTCACTCTACAAGCCTGCTCTACCTTGTGAGCTTCCACCACAAACTCAGGCAACCCAGCCCTGGGATAATAAACGACCTCTAATGGCAAACCTTTGATCGCCTTCTCCGTCTCCTCCACCACCACCTCAGCTGCGACCCTCCCCCTCTGACTCCTCGAAAACACGCCCGGTCTTGGGGGTTTGGGCACATACCCCTTAGGCAGTCTCGACAGCGGCGTAAAATGCCTTCGAATGCCAACAGACAGGTCCCCTGTAACCTTATTCCTGGCAAAAATAACAGAATCATTACGAGTAAGATACTTGCTATTCACAAACGTGGTCCAACCAGAAGTGAACAAGTGTCTCCTAGGCGTCCCCCTGTAAATATGCCTAAACTCCCACTTAACTCCATGAACATCACTGATTTCGAGTGTTTGCACCGGCGGATCATCCTCGAAATTCAAAGTTGGAAAAATCGATACAGCACAATTCTTCGGAACAGAGAACCCACCACCATTGTTGGCATCCGAAGTGGTTATACACTTGACGAACGAATCAACCACATTATCATCATCATTATCTCGATCACGATTACCATTATAATTACCCATGACATGAATGTCTGTCAATGGCATAAGCCGATACTTGACGAAAACTTCGTCAGTAACAGGATCACCCCAATAAGTAACATCAACAACACGACAAGCCACATAAGGTCTGGAGGTCACCATTGATGAGAATGAAGCAGGAGTTGAAGCTTGTTCTAAGAAGCCTTGAGGAAAGAAGTATACATCAGAATGCTTCTGTGCGACATCAACCACCATTCCTGCAAAAGCTTTGAATCTATGGTAGTCCAACTCCGTCTCCTTCTCCTGTTGCTTCCGCGGCACTTTCTGCTTCGCCATTCAATTTCACAGAAACCAACAATGGCACCCAATAACAAATCAATTGAAATTTCTTTGTTTCAGAGTTTATTTCAATTTTTGTAATTGGGTTTTTTTTAGGGAAGACTGTATTTATAATCTCTCAGTGTAAAAATAAAAATAAAAATAAAAAAAATCTGATTGTGACAGTAGTCTGTTAGAGTGTTAGGACTATTAGGAGTGTTTTAAGGAACGGATGAATATGGACAGAGAAAATCTACCCCATGTCAGGATAATTACAGAGGTTAAAAATAATTTAACCACGACAATTACAGCGCGTGTTCTGTAATACAAGTTATTCATTCTTTATTTGCTTAAAAAAATAAATAAATAAATAAAAAATAAAAAATTGGTCTTTATCACTTTAACAAATGGTGCGGTTTCCCAAAACCTAATGTTAAGTCTTAACAAAACAACACAGAAAATGATATACACGCTCTAATCAAACTGCATTTAGCTTTAAACTAATTGTTATGTTTTGTTAAACATGATGAAATGCTTTTTCTAAACCCTAGGTATTGGGAAGGCCCTTCCTAGAAGGTAAATCCCTATCTAGAGTGTTTGTTTTGTACATTTGTACTTTATATTATTCTTTGTTCAATAAATTATTATTATTATTTTAAAAAAAAACACTTCTAATGAGGTTGCAACAAAATATTTATAGTTCTTAAGATCCTATTTAATTTATGTGTAAGAATCTCTTCAATTCATCATAAGTTCCTTATGTCCATCATATCATAAGTAAAAAATGCAGTTTGATTAGAGCGTGTATACCATTTTCTGTGTTGTTTTGTTAAGACTTAAGACATTAGGTTTTGGGAAACCGCACCATTTGTTAAAGTGATAAAGACCATTTTTTTTTTTTGGAAGCAAATAAAGACTGAATAACTTGTATTCTTATGACAATTTTGTGCACCGGTTTAAATTGAAAATTGAACAGTTACAAAAAAAATCAAGGAAATAAAAAGATATGATCTCTTTTTTTTTTTTTGATAAACAAGATATGATTGATTTTAATTTAATGTAAATTATTTTGTAAAAAAAAATGTAAATTATGAAAATTTTATTTTACTAGGGTGGCTAATGCGCATGATGTGCGCGTAATAACTAATTATGTCCGAAAGTTTTTTTCGATTTGACATTCTTTTATACTCCCTCGGTTTCTAAATAGTTGCTCCCCTCTCCTTTTTCGGCCGTTTTTAAATACTTGCTCCATTTCCATATTTAGGAAGCTTTTATAATATTTAATTTATTTCTCTCACCCAATTGATCCAACATAAATTATATTTTATTAATTTCATATTCTCTATCCTCCCATTCTCTCCATTACTTTTACTTTATACAATTTTTTATTCTTCCACTTACCCCACTACCTCCATATTTTATTACTTTCTCCAATTTCTCCTAAAACTCCGCGCATGGAGAAATGAAGCAAGTATTTAAAAACGGAGGGAGTAGTTACTTTAGTTGTTAGCATTGTTAGGGTCTGTTCACATTTACTGAACTGAGCTGAATTGAATTGAACTGATTGGAGCTGAACTGAACTGAAGAATTGATTGGAGCTGAACTTAACTAAATTGATTAGAGCTGAATTGAATTGAACTGAAATTAAGTAAATATGAACAGACCCTTAATTAGGGAAAATAGGTAAACAAGCTAAGTACTTTTAGAGGTAATGTCCACAAGATATTCTTAAGAGTTAAAATGGATAATTAATATTAATGAGGAAAAATATATAAATAAACATTGTAGGGATATAATTGTCTCAACACTCTTCATAAAATAAAGTGTGGTCATACTTTTTAAAAAGAGTAAATACGTAAATAAACATTTTTACGAGTATAATAGTCTCACCACTATTCATAAGGGTTTGCTCATACTTTTTAAAAGGTAGGGATTCATCTTATTACTAGTTTTGTGCTCCATACGATACCCGTTGGTTGTTTATTAGAATTTAACATAAAACTTTCTATCTAAAATATACATGTTATTTGAAATTATTTACTCATGGATTAATAATCACTTGACCATCATACTTGTAAAGTAAAGATAAGGGTGGTTTTAGGAAAGAGTTTGGGCTATATGGTAGTTCTTGATCAAAGTGAAGCAAGTAGCATGGTCAGAGTAATTAGAAGAAATCAGTTTTGAATTGCACCTGTTTTCATATTGTTGGATGAAATTTGTAGGATAAATTGAAATTTTATGTCTTTAATTTAGGTAAGATGGGAGAAGTGTTTCGGATATTGTAGGGAATATTTTAAGCATCCGACACTTGAGCCCCACTGTGATCATACACTTAAGTATGGTGGCGTCAAAAGGGAAGGAAGCTAGAATAAAACAGTCGCCAACAAGTTTTAGGAACTTGTAAATCGTTCACATGGTGAAGGTTACACCCCTTCACGATCCATGAGATCGCTAAGTTCATAGTGGTCTGGAACCATGACTGGATATTCGGGGATGAGTGTACAAATCCAACCTAAAAGAGATTGAACCTGCCCTAAAAAAAGGTCTCTACTTTATTCTTCTTATATTCATGTGCGCTTTCTGACTAACATACAATCAATAGGTTAAGCCTAAACCTGTTTAATCTATGTTGGTTGAATATAAATTCACAAATAAATCTATTATTGGCGATCACTTGAATTATAATCATATTAACCTAAACAAGATTATTAATTATCTTATTAAGCGTGATTACAAGTACAAATTTCCTTTAATACTGCAAAAGAGGGCGTGATCAAGCAATAACAATAATAATAATATCAAGCAACATAATAACAACACATCATCATCATCAAAATATTCTCAATCTCATGAAAGCATAATAATATCATTAGCAAGATCCTAGGCATGATACCAACAAGATTAATAACAAATCCTAACATGTCACTAACCAAATCAAATCTTCATCCCTATCATGATATTAATATGATATTAGAAATAGGAAGCATCCTCAACATGATACTAGAAAGTAATAAATAACATCCTAACATGATGCTAGGAATTAAAATAATCTAAGCATGTTTTCTATATCTAAAGAATAATTAAATTACTTACTTCGATGTCTCGTATCTCTTTCTGATAACAAAATACACTCGTTAGTACCTTCAAGGAAAATATTAAATCAAACAATTAAATTAAATAATTAAAATAAGGATTTGGGACCAAACCCTCAGAAATTATCAACCTTAGCTTTCACGTCTAGGGCGAAGGCAACTTCGAACTTGGCTAGGTGTATCTAGAACTTGTGAATGCGGAATTTTGTAAAGAGGGAGAAGAATAAGCTATTGCTTGAGAGAATTAATGATGATTGTTAATGATTGAAAACGGGGAATTACGACCCTATTTATAAAGAAAATAGTCCGGAAATGATAGAATAGAATTAGAATTTGAATCGGAATAAAATTGGCTCCTGTTGCGAACGACAGACGCGAAACGGCAAAGATCACGCATGGCGACAGGTTTTTCGTTTGGGGCTGGCTAAAAGATAAAACGCGCTTTTGTACGGAATCCTTTTCTTAATATGATTAAGTAATTAAACTCCGTGTTTATCAATTTTAAATCGGATTTTATCATAATAAAACTCTAGTTTTATTTCAAATCAAATAATTCATTATTTTCTAAAAAGATAATTATCAATCCTAACGCTATTAGAACTTAAAATAATATTATATGTAGACTCCTAATTATTGATTTTTTTGTGTATTGTGAACTTCTGTAGGTTGCATTGGCCCCTCATGGTGATTTGTTTTTCCAATAACACAATCTTTCACCTTGATTTAGCTCGATCAACAAAGAAGTTGCTCGTGTACGAAGGCTATACTACAAAAGTAAATATAGCTACTGTAACACCCCCAAATCTCCCTCTACGTAAATGAATTTTTTTCTATGGAGGCGGATGCACCATGTTTGGTGCATCCGGTTTTCTTTTTAAAAAGGGCGAAATAAACATTTAGTTGTTTAGTAAAGAAAATATAGTTGTTTTATAAAGAACATATAGCTATTTTATAAAGAACATCTAGTTTTATATGTTTTTTTGTAAATCTAAAGAACATTTGTAATATTAATAAAGAACATGATAATATTAAAGAATATTATTCATATAGTAAATGTACATTTGGTATAAATGACCATGTATGCATATAAAAAAGTACATTTTATTGTATTATAATGTACACTATATTATATTCTAATGAAGATATATGTTATAATGTTGGTTACATGTTTAATGTACATTGTATTATTTGCATCATGTAAGTATATGAAAAAAGAACATTTTACTGTATTTTAATGTACATTGCATTATTTGAATCTACAACTTTTTTTAAAATTGTCTATTTGCTTGTTTTTTTCTTAAAAAATGGATTAATCGGAAGATCTTCTTCAAGAACTTCATTTTATTTCTCATTGCAACAACAAAATAACATCAAAATCGCAATTAATTCCCAATAAAATCAAATATTACAATTTTCAATCAAATTTATAAAAAAAAACACTCAAACTCAAAATAAACAAGTATGAATGTCAAATAAACAAGTATGAATGTCGAATTTGGTCTTACCTTTCGTTTTTATTTGTCATCTTGAACAATTTTGGACTCAAAATTTCAAATTTCTTGAAATTTTGCTTGAGGTTTGAGGAATTTAAATGGGTTTGAAGTTTTGTTTGGAGAGAGAAAGTGAACTTTTGGTAAAAAAAAATATTGAAATGATTTGTAATTAATGTATGGTAAAAAAATAATTATAGTACTATTTATCTATTTCATTATACAAAAAAAAAAAATAATTATATTATTATACAAAAATAATATACAAAATTGTTGCACAAAAATCTGAGGTACATAGATTAAAAAAAAAAAATCTGATGTACATTATAAATGAACACTATGTTCTTTTATGTATATGTCCATGTACATTATAATTGAACACTATGTTCTTTTATATTCCCATGTACATTAGTATATACCTGCATGTTCATTCCGCCTTTTTGTACTTTGGAGCGGATGCACTATGCGGATCGTGCATCCGCCTCCACGAACCAAGCTTTACTACGTAAATTCTATATTTATATATATACAAATACCGTAGAGATAGACTTGGGCGTACTACCGCCACGTGAAAACGTAAGGCTTAAATACTCAAGTTGCAGCGGAAAATAACTAACTTTTATTAATAAAATGAATAACCATAATAACTGTTTTAATTTACTTCAATTAAAAAAAAAAAAAAACTTGCCCAGTCATAAAATTAACTTTAACTCCTAACTATGTGATCCCATCCAAACTCTAGCATGCGCACGAACAACTCCATACCTGAAATCAAGACTGCTTACCAGTAATGGTAAACAGGGCGAACCAAAACAAAAAGGAAAAACAGATTAGCACAAACACTAAGTACGTATAAGTGCAAGGCATG